TTATGTCCTCCTGGTTGTCTAGGTGGTGATGTGGCTACTTTAATAATTGGCATTCTTTTGGGGAAAAACTGGACTGATTCAAAGAGATGACATCCATTCCACTTTAAATGGTGCAGCTCTTCTTTACTAGGAATCTTGCAAAAAAAATTGTCCTCCAAAACTGTGAAAACCCAGGGTGCAGACCAGGAGTAGTAGTTTAATCTTGTAGCCTTGAACATCGGTTGTGCTTTCTGTTTTTCATGGGACTTCAGCATACAGTGCACCTCGCCACGGTGTCGCCATTCCTCACCATGGCCGGTTCTAGACAGGGGCCAAAGGGGGCCAGTGCCCCTGGCCCCTGTTATGGCCCCTGTACTGAAGACATAATACTTGAAAGAAATTCTAATGATGATATGCACTGGAACAGACATGGTTACTGATAGGTCATTTGGATCTATTTCTTATTGTTCTTTACAAATTCTGGTTTAGTAATTATTCAAAAACAATAAGGTGATAGATTCAGTGGTATTGAGATAGGATCCCAGTTTTCAGCTGCTAAATGAAAAAAAATGAGAAAAAATGCTCTATTTTTTATAGATAAATTACATAACATCAATAACAGTTTTTCTTGACTTCTAATTCAAACTTTATAGAAAACAGGAGTTTTAACTCACATTAAAGGAATAGTACACCCAAAACATGATTAGCCTTCATTTTCTACTCACCCCCATGCTGAACAACACTCTGGAGAACTTTTTTGATATCTCAAATGCATCTGGAGATCTGGGAGGCTTCTTGCTGTCTGCTGACATTCAAATAGTGGAGGTCTATGGCGCCCGAGACAGAAAGGTCCATAAAAGTCCACAAAAAACGTGTCAATTTTCCTCCATACTGCTCGTCCAATGTATTCCAAGTGTCCTGAGTTGGTAGCATCCAGAATTTACTCGAAACAAAGTCATTTAGAATGTTTTTAGAGCATAAACAGTAGTGTATAGGATTTCCTAAAAGCGCGCACCTGCGCGTTCACAACGCTACGGAAGCCGGCAGACCAAACCAGACAAAAGTGCGCATTCAGCGTCTGCTCTGCCAATAATGCAAGCGTAGAAGAAGAAATGTGCTGTTTACCTGTGCAAAGAAAGAAACAACGAAAGAAAAATGTCTGAGGACTTCAGTGTTGAGGAAGAGCATGAGTTCTTTGCCGAGCTGAATGCGCACTTACATCTGGTTTGGTCTACCGCGGTTTCCGTAGCGTCGTGAACGCGCTTTCAGGAAATCCTATACACTACTGTTTATGCTCTAAAAACATTCTAAATAACTTCGTTTCGAGTAAATTCTGGATGCTACCCACTCAGGACACTTGGAATACATTGGACGAGCAGTATGGAGGAATATTGACACGTTTTTTGTGGACTTTTATGGACCTTTCTGCCTCGGGCACCATAGACCTCCATTATTTGAATGTCAGCAGACAGCAAGAAGCCTCCCAGATCTCCAGATGCATTTGAGATATCAAAAAAGTACTCCAGAGGGTTGTTCAGCATGGGGATGAGTAGAAAATGAAGGCTAATCATGTTTTGGGTGTACTATTCCTTTAAGAAAAACATGTGTAACAGTCCTAAATTATAAATGTATATTGACCTCATAAGAAATAGAATTTCTATTGAACCTAATTGAAAATAAATGTCCCTTCATGCAGCTCTCTTAATATATTTGAATCCCTTGCCCTGATTATTTATTTCATGCTTTGCTGTGCCCCCCATGAAAACACACTGGCCCCCTGGTACATTTGGTCTAGAACCGCCGCTGTCCCTCCCATTCAATAGACATGGATATACTTTAGTATATTCTGCTGGAAATTAGTCTGATATTTTCGTTTTTTACTCGAGGATTGAACCTCTGCCGTTTTACAGGATGCACAGCTTTGAGTGCTAACTAGGTGACTGCCAGAGAGTAACCCAGAGAAACTTATCGAACTGATCCAATCAGCACTCTGATCAACCAGCCTCCTGGAACGCTGGTTGAACAGAGCATCGCTTTGGACAAATACGCTGCACAGGATCCAAAAGCAACCTCCTCCATACACCCCGCGCTCTCTTGTTGTCTGCGCAATCAAAGTAGTTCTAATTCGCACATGATGCATGAATTATTCCCTGCTTGCTCTCACTCTCATAAAAAAAAAACTCCACCTCCCATAGTCTAAAATCCGGGATAATTTATCCAACTCGCGGGCATCAGTGAACAACTATCGATATCAGGGAGACTCCCGGAACTTCTAGGAGACTGTCTGCTACTCCATCCAAACAGTGTCCTGGCCATAAAGAAAATCAAATATTATAAATAAAATATTAATTTTAATGAAAAAGTTCCATCCATTCATCTTCTTTCGCTTATCCAGGGTTGGGTCACGGGTTAGCAGCTTCAGTAGGGAGGCCATGACGTCCCTCTCCCTCCTTGGGCCAGCTCCTTTGGGGGGAATCCCAAGGCGTTCCCCCTGGGCCTCCTCCTGGTGGGACGCGCCTGGAACACCTCACCAGGGAGACGTCCAGGAGGCATCCTAATCAGATGGCCGAGCCACCTCAACTGGCTCCTCTCGATGTGGAAGAGCAAAACAGATCCCCTCAACACCTTGGCTGCGCCTAGAAATTCTGTCCATAAAAGTTTTGAACAAAATCGGTGAAAAAGGGCAATCTCGGCGGAGTCCAACCCTCACTGGAAACGAGTCCGACACCTTTTTTTATAGATGTTGGAGTTTGGCCAGTGTAGTATATACTCATCTGCCTAGCTGTGTGTTTCCTGGAGAGAGCCGCCTATGGAGCTAGTTAATAGTTAACTTTTGTAACTCTGGTTCTTTTTGCATCTCTGCTTCTGTCTCCTTGAACCCCAGTCAGCCTCGGCAGATAGCCGCTCACACTGAGCCTGATTCTGCTGGAGTTTTCTTTCTATTAAAAGGGAGTTTTTCCTCTCCACCGTCGCTACAACCGTGCTTGGTATGAGGGATTGCCTTCGAGTCAATGAATCAGCTGGTTTTCCTTAGATAGAAAACTTTAAACCATTCTCACTGTATGATGTGGTTGAATTTTGTCTTTGAAGTGCTTTGAGATGTGTTGAGAATTTGCGCTATATAAACAGACTGAACTGAATCCAGAATCAAGTTAGTTTTCTTCCACTTGTGCACTGCTCCAGAAATGTCTGTTGTGCTTGATCAAACAGCAATTCCCCAGCTATGCCCCAGATTTTCTATTTCATTTATTTAGAATTTGAGTTGACCATTGCTGTTAAGGCACGGTTAGTTTTTACCATTACAGAAAGTCATCAACTTACAAAAAACACTTTGACCCTTCGCTTATGCTCTTTACCTGCAGTTCAGACAGGTATGCAGAACCACTGTACTGCTAGATCGTCATCCAGTAGTTCGCAGAATGGTAAGGGCTATGACCCATGATCATTTTCCTTTTAAACTAAGGCCTCGAAGTAATGTTCTCTTTGTCCCTAAGCCAGATTCTGAAGCTGTCAGTTGTCACTGCTGCGCTCTCTGGTTTAAGGGGGAACTGATTATTAGGCCAAATAATGTTAAAAAATCCTTTAAGAAAATTCCTGCATCCAGTTCATCCCCAAAACTGATATTGTTCCATGGACTTATCTGCACCTTTGGTAAAAACAACTACTCATCAAATCATAAAATCCCTTCATAACTTTTCAAGTCATCCTGTACAAAGACAGACAAACACACAAACTCACCTTATCAAATAACCTCCTTGGCGTAGGTAAATAAACTGTGCTGCATTGTTTGATAACCGGAATCAAGTGGGATATCCTGTGCTTGGCTTGAAACTTGCAAAATACAACTGAAAAAAACTTTCTCTGTTCTAAAGTACAATGAGATTATGTGTTGATCTTTTAGGATATGAAGACTGAATTAAATTGCATAATCTCCTTCTGCTTGGAAACTAGGCACTACTTTGTGTTGGTGGATTACATACAAATGTTTGTAATTTATTGCATCATAAAACTAAGAGCAAAACATCACATTTATCTATCTGGATGGAGGTTTATTGAGGAAATAATGTATACTTACGCTTTTGTAAATCAGAGCTGAAGCTTAATATGCAGAGTATCTCTCTTCTTAGGCTTGAAATTAATTATGATGTTCAGAAAGAAAAAGATGAAGACATTGTACTGTTGTCCCAAACCTTTTATTTTGGCTTCCAGAATAGTTTCGCAGAGAAATTTGCCACTTCAAGGATAAAAAACAAACCATTGTGACATCAGAATAATTTATTCACTACAGTCACTGTCCAAAGAACAGCAGCAGGGCTGTAAGACAGTAAAACTTAAAGAAACACTGAAACATTATGAATGTGATAAACCTTCTTTTCTTGACCTGCTAATGCTTTATGACCCTGCAGAGTTTGGTTGCAGGAGCAGGTTGAGTATGTCAACCACTTTGGATTAAACATCAGTGATGAAAACATTTTTCACAGCAATTACCTGCCTTTTACTTTATTGCTTTGTTTTTGTTTTTTCATAATATAAAAGTGGCCTGGTCCCTTTAACCAGTCATCACATGGTGTGTTTCTGAAAAGTTAAACTAATGGTCATCCTGACATATAAAATATATTCATTTAAAGACCTAGAAGCTCTCTTTTACTAAAGATTGTAGTGTTCATTGTTAGAGTGGTCTTTAAGATCACAAACACAAAGTAGAAAAGACCAGTTAGTGTTACAGGAAAAAAAAAAAAAAACACGTCCACAACAAACAAATAGATAAACAGAAAAAGAGGAACACAGTTTATCGGTATGGTAGTGTGTGGTTTGCGACCAGAAATAGATGCTGATTTAAACTGAACTCAATGCAAAGGTCAGCGATGATTGAATTTAAATCAGTTTTCCTCTTTGGGTCACAAAGTTTAAAGGAAAAAATTGAAATTAAATCACCTGAATTGTCACTCCTTTCCCCTTAAGAACAGAAGGAGGAAGTAAATGAGCCCGTAGAAGTTGGATTTCCTCAAAAAGAAAAAATTACCCCCCACCCATCAGAGGGACCTCTGGATATCAGAACTTTGTGACCAAAATTGCTTTAATCCCTACTTTGTCCAAGTGTAAGTATTGTCCACAATTATATAACCAAAACTTCCCCTTTAAAAAATGAGACAACTTCTTTTCTGGTCAGGATATGATACAAATATACACAAAGAAATGAGACAATAAAGATAACTAATACACACTAACTTAAAGTGAGAGGAACATCATGAGGAGGTAAAGTCTCTAAAATGATGGTATTTCCTGATTAACTGGGCTCAGAATGAACTGACTGGATGAACGCTTATCAGCAGATTAGTTTATACCTTAGTGCTAAAAATGAACCCTGACCTAAAAACAGCAATTCCTCACATGGGGTCCACTCATCGGTCCCCACAACATGCTACTTTTCCAGAACACGGGCCCCACAATGTTTAAAACAAGAAAACACACACACACAGCTTTCCCTCAGAGGGCGGGTATATGGCTCATCCAGGAGTGGTATTTGACCTGGCCAGAAGTGGAGAGCAGGTAAGGCCAACGCCATCACAGCTTTGCATAGATTCTAAACTGGTAAAAGTCAAAGATTTTCATTTATGATAAAAAAGAAGCATATAAACTGGGCTGACCGCATAAAAAGAAATTGGAATTAATTGTCAGGAGATTCATTCAGTTTTAAACCTTAGTGTCTGAGTTCATTCACTGACTAATAAAAACTGCAGCTGAGTCTTGCTCCGTTTAAAAAGAAAATATAGAAAAAGACTCAGCAATGAAGCTAAGACATTGTTTTACTGCTGTGGGTAAAAGCAGACATATCCAAATAAATCCTCAACTGCCAGAAAAAACGGTAACAGAAAATAAAAAAGGGGCCATTAAAGGAGTAGTGAAAATACAGAATACCGTGTTAGTACACAACTCATCCATTGTCTTACAATTTTACTAAAAGCAACCATTTCAAAACAGGGAGTGAAGGTCGGGGTATGGGGGGTCATGGGCACTTCTCTGCACATGGAGAGAGGCATCATTCTGAGCGTGCTCAGATAGAGCCGATCCATCAGAGGGTCTCTACTCCATCAGCAGGTAGCGCTGCAACCTCTACGTTTCTGCAAGAAGGAAAATAATAAGTTAGAAATTCCTTCACTTCTCTCTGGAAGAGAAGTTACAGCCAGTGCCGGCTGGTCAATAGAGTGGGCTAGGGTGCCCCACCCACCCAATGAGCTTGATTAATACATAAAAATAAAAAAAATCAAATGATACAATTTTAATATTTTAAAATATATCATCATATTTTTTTAATTTTTTAAAGCTGTTTCTATGGTCGTCGCACTGGTGACGTAATTTCCGCCATGGGGCGCAAAAATCTTTGGCCATAGATTCTCGTTAAAAGTTGTAAATGCGCAATAGCTCCTCTGCAATGAAAACGTATAGGAGGGTGCAGGAGACCTGCGACTTGAGCTGACAGGAACTGTCGTCACAGTAGTACTGTGGCTGATTGACAGGTTGAGTCGCCAAAATATGAGACGAGAGAGATAGAGAGAGAGAGAAATTTAGCAAGAAAAATTTAATTAAGTCCCTTAAAGCAAACTTACCCAGAGGTGAAAGCATTTGGACCTGATGGGCCGAACATCAAAATTAATCATTAGTCCAAAGACAGATGGAGACGGTATACGGCTTGGCTAACTGCATGCAGAGAGGCTAACGCTTTATTCTGCTTTCCCTGCCTCCTTTTTTACAAACATCAGGATCTGAGCCAGCTTGGATAAAGACATGTACTACTGATTTGTACTGCAAAGAAGAATGAACAATCTGGGATTCACATGGAAAATAATATGATATAGTGTACTTTTCCTAGGTGTTGGTTAATTTGCATAGTTGGTTTTAAATAAACATGGAGTTTAATGGAAACATCTGCACTATCCCCAGGTCTGTGGTCTGCTTTGTGTGTAGAACAGCATTTCCAACGCCACTCATTTAATGACAGATTCGTTCCCCAAATATGTGGATCAGAGAAGGTAGTAGGGGTGTAAACAATAATTGTTTTGTATCGATGCATCGATCCAACAGCTGACGATCCGATGCATCGATACATCCGCATGTTTTTTTTTTCCTCCGGTCTATTTTTATCCATTTGCTCCTGGGCGTAATTCTCCCTCCCGTGCTGCTGTGGCGCTAAACCTATTTTGCCCTCCTACCTCGCTTCCTGGTTATACTCTTACAGCAGTGTGTTGCAGTGAGCTTGACACAGGAATATTTGATTTATGCTCAATATTGAAGCGTGGTCTGTGCTACACGCTGTGGGTCTAGATACGGCCGAGGCGGTGAGGAAGTGGGGGCGAGTTTAGTCCGACGACGGAGGGACATGAGGGCCAAAAAGAGCGGAGATCCAGGTGGAAAAAAGGGCCCCAGCGTTCTCGTGCACCTCGCTCTTCTAGCGGGTCAAACTTCACAAGTTGTTTTCCATAATTTCGGTCATAAAAACAAAACAAGCCGGCCTCCTGTCTGCGGCACTGTCTGCGGTCAGCTACAATTTAGGAGAGGAGCAGCGGAGCGTCTGTGGAGGGGGCGGTAACGTCTGGAGCCGAGGTATTTCATTGCACTGATTTTGTGCAGTATTTTTTGATGCAACTTTTCTACTTCTGTTAATAGCTGTTGTTTCTAAAAAAAAAAAAAAAAAGCATAACGATTTCATAGCTTTAATTGATTAATTTCAAATTTTAAACTTTGTTTAGCCTGTAAGGTGTAAAAAAAAAAATAAAAAATTAACAAATTAATCGAATCGAATCATGGTGTTTTCTTGAGTATCGAAAATAATCGAATCGTTGGGTCAGGAAATCAATACTGAATCAAATCGCCATGACGGATGTGATTAACACCCCTAGAAAGCAGCAGTCCTCTTTTATCTTCTCCTCCTTGGAGAATTTTCTTTTACTTCGGTAAATTTTAAGAGTTGTAATATGATTCTACTTAATGTAAAAATGTGAGAATGTCTGACCTACTTTTATAAATGCGGAGAATATGAATCGCTTCTCTTAAATGGCACCAGGTTGGGTGAGTTTAACGCTTTGAGTGTGTATTTATACCAATTCTTGCCTAAATTTATATTTCTTTATGCTGTGACATTTCTCCTTTATCCCCACTTACACTATGCATTGCTGTATGTTTCTGCATCACATAAAATCCTATTGAAATACTAACACTAAAGGCAGTATTTATAACGTGGCAGGATAAAGTACGGTGGGCTAGGGGAGCAAACTGTGTGTAAATATACAGTATGATTTTACATAAAGGTTTGAATTTCCATGGTGTTTCCTCCCTCCTGGATACCACAATAAAGTCCCAGGGGTGGAACATCTTTCATGGGACTATATCTCATATCTGTGGCCAACCTGAGCATTTATTGTTTATTTAAATAATAAATTGACGTTTTAACTGTGGGCTCATTCTTAAATTGTTCCCCGGTCTCAGCATGGTTGATGTTAAAGTGAGTTTATAAAGACAATTATAAAGTGTAAAAACTCAAAGTTACCCACCTTCTTCTGCCTCCTCCTCTACCTCTTCCGTCACTGTTTCTGTGTCTGAAAAATATCAGGGTGAAAATGTGAAGATTGTGGTCCTTAAAATTCAGGCAGGTAAATTTAGCCTTGTTTAAGTGAGAATGAAAGCGTGTAAATCACAAGATGGAAAAGATAAAAAACCAAAAGCTAAACATTGGATAAACTTTTTATTTTTTGCTTGTATGATTATTCTTACCTGGAATTGTTGCCTCCATGCCGGCTGCATCAGCGCCTTGTTCCTCTTCCTCGTCTGCAGGCGTTTCCTCCTCCTTGGTTTGATGCTCAACAGCTTCGCCTTCAACCATTGGTTCTAAGAACTCTTCTTCCTCCACCACCTCTTCTTCTGGAGGTGCATCTTTTCCTATAACATGCTCTTCTGGGAGAGCTGCTTCTTCCACAGCTTCATCTTCTAGGTGTCCTTCTGTAGCCAGCTCTCTAGCAGGCTCTTCTGAAAAACCTTCCTCCAGTGGAGCCACATCCTCTTCTTCTGCACGTTCCTCTGAACCATCTGTGGCGGCTACCTCCTCTACAAATTCTTCTGAGAAGGTCTCCTGCTCAGTTGGTTCCTCATCAACAGGGAGAGTTTCTTCCTCTGTTTGCTCTAGTGCCTCGTCTAAAGATTCCTCTGCTCCATCACTGGTCCCTTCCGGTTCTTCAGCCTCTTCCTCGTAAGCTCCAACCTGAGTAATTGGCAAAAATTATTTCACCTCATGAACATACAGCTGTCTTGTTTTGCTTGATCTAAAGGAAACAGTCATTGGGTCTTATTTGCACACAATGTTTTTTAAGCAGGCTTGCATGGTGTCGCAGTGTGTAGCACTGTGGCCTTGCAGCCAGAAGGCTCCGGATACGATTCCCGGTGTTCTGTCAGATGAGCATACCCAGTCAGACCCGCATACCCATAGTCAATACCTGCTCATCCCTTTAGTTTATCCATCTTTATCCCTTTAGTTTTGTATGAAAAATATACTTTAAACTACTTCAATGGGCCTGTATCCCTTTAGTCATGTACAAAAAAACGATTTAATTAATTACTTTGCTTTTGGTGTTTTTTGACGCCTATGGCAATCTGACCTTAAATTGTTTGGGTTTTTTGGACATTACTAAAGGGATACACGTCCTTCAAGGTAGTTTAAAGTCTATTTTTTTAGTACAAAACTAAAGGGATGAAAGCAAATCTGACGTCTTGCGCATGCGCATTGACTATGGGTATGCTGGTCTGATAAGGTATGCTGATCTGACAGAACACCGGCCCGGAAACTTTTTACAGATACTGTCTGAAAACATGAAATCATTAATTGGCTTCTCTAAACTGTGTGGATGGTTGTGTGTCTGTGTCGCCCTGTGACAGACTGCCGTTCTGGCCAGGTTGGACCCTGCCTCTCGCCCATAGACTGCTGGAATAAGCAGGAGAAGTTAGCTGGATGTTTTCCGATTTTTTTATTTCTGAGTATTTTAATACTAGTGGACTTATGTCCAGCAGCAGTGTAAAAACTGTGAAATGTTTTCTGATGCAACCATCATGATGTAAAGCCACAGTTCAACAGCCTGCATACAACGGAGAGGGCTTATCTATAAGATGACTGAGGTACAAAAGGAAGTTAGGATTTTGATTCCATCGCCAACTTGTGCTACTAGACAAACGGCTTTTAACCCAAATAATAAATAATGGTGCGGATGTGTTTGTTATCAGGTAAGAGAAACTCTGTACTGCAAGAAAAGAAGAAATGTATTCTTAATATGAATATATTTGCACTTGGTTTGAGTAGATAAATAAAATGGTATGCCCAGAACAAGACTTAGCACTTTAGCTATCCTTGATTATTTAATTTAAGGGGCTGAATACAATTAAATTGGCAGTTTACTTAACAGGCTATACTGATGACAAATACACCTATTTCAGGACATTTTGACTGATTTCTAGTTCAATTCTTGCAATTTGAACACCTCAGTGGTGACTTGACGTCCTACAGAAAAAAAGATCATCAGGGCTCCTCTTCCCTCCATAAAAGACATTTCATCCCAGAGCTGTGTGTCCTGAACCCATAACATCATCAATGACCCCTCACCCCCCCACCATGGACTGTTCTCCCTGCTGCCCTCTGGGAAGAGGCTTCGAAGCATTGGATGCAGAAATCTGTTTTCCACAACAGTTTCTTCCCCCACTGCCATTAGACTGCTGAATGTTTTGTAGAATGGGTTACTGTATGGTATTTTATAATTATTTATTATTTTTTAGCATTAGAATTGTTAGAATTGTATATTTACAGTCACTTTTACTATTTCTCCAGGCTGCACTTTTAAAAGATGAAATTGTCCAGTGAGCTGTTTCCAAGCGAAATTTCTTTTTGTTTTACGCTTGTGTGAACAAAATGACAGTCCATTTAGTGTTATTCCCAGAGGCCTATAATCGAGCAAACTGACTGAGTGTTAAGTGGAGGCTAAACATTTAGAAAAGGTACAATAGAAATCAACTAGCAATGAGCACTGGAAAGAAAAAGTTCACAAGATATCGATCAACATGTTTCTATAATGAAAGGAACACGAATTCTGTGGCAAGAGGCTATTCTTCCTTAGCTAATGGATTGAACTACGCTGCATTAAAGGACATTATTCATGATAAATGCTAATGAATTAGAGCTACACTGCCAGGCTGAGTGTTTCATGGACGGGGCCGCCTGTGGAGCTGGTTGACAGTTGCCTTTTGTATCTCTGCTTTTTACTGTATTCTATCTCTATTCTCCCACTCACACCTGTTAGTTCAATCTCTAACATTCTGCTCTCTCTGCTTTTTGTCATAGTAACTTTGTGTCGTCTGTTCCTGTTTGGCTGTGACTCCATCCTGGAGAGAAATATCAGCTGTGCTGCTTCCATCAACACCTTTGTTTATAGATGTTGGAGATCGGCCTGTTTTTCAGTGTAGTCCTGTTTCTCTGACTGTGACTAACTGAATGTGCTCTCTTCGTCCTCTGACATGGGAGCTCGTCTGCCTGGCTGTGTTTCCTGGACCGGATCGCCTTTTGTATCTCTGCTTCTGATGAAAACAGCTGATTTTCTGGTTCTGATGTTTTTTTAGATTGAAAACTATAAACCAATCTAACCGGATGATCTTGTTAAACTGTCTCTTTAAAGAGCCTGGCCATGACATACGGTATGTTGTGAATTGGTGCTACATAAATAAACTGAATTGAATTTAATAACTCATAAAATATTCAGATTTTCTAAAAAAAAAAAAAAAAAGAAAGTTTAATTTTTTCAGCAGCTAGCAATAATCATCAAACCGAACAAAAATAATTACTTAAATTAAGCTGTTTGCAGAAGGCAATGTTATTTTCGTATTTCTTCTTGTGTCAGACGCCTAACTTGATTGTGTTGGGATATATTACCAACATGTAGCTAAATCAGTGGGGTGAGCCATCTCAAACCATCCATTTCTTCTCCACAAAGAATAACAAAGGATTCCGCCCAAAACGGAGAACAAAGAATTCCTGCCAAAACAAGAACAAGAACGTATCGGCCCACTGTGGGAGGCGGCCACCTCAAACGAACCAATAAGCCGATACGCCAACAGGAAGTGCTTGCACGTCACTCATGGTTTAAAACCCAGCCGAGCACATTTTTCTTTCTCTTTTCCGTGGGTCACGGCCCAAAAGGGGAGGCTCATTTCACGTGAAATAACAGAAGAAAGCTAACTGGAAGTAGCTTTCGTTTTTCCTGCGCCAAAAGTCACGGATTGCAGTGTTCCATCGTGCATAGCGGCTGCACCAACACCGGAGAAAGAAGCTTGGGAGCTGTGTGTTTTTCCCTTTTTGTAAGGATCGGCCGGAAGGACGATTACTTCAGCAAAATCCATCCTCTTCGACTTGTGAGCATATTAAGGCCTCTGCTGTAGCATCGAACTGACTGGACTTTCCCGAGAGCGGATCTGGGCTGAAGGGCTGAAGGAGATCCACGCGGCCGGAGCCAGACCACGTGCTCCCTCGGAACTTCCCCGCTCCTTCAGGGACCGGGCAGCTCACAGTAAAGCAATTTCCTTTCCTTTTTGATGCATTATAGAGGCGATTGCGCTCGGCGAGAGGCAGGTAGATTCAGGGATTTGAATTAATGCTGATTTTTAATCTGTGCTGATCAAGAGTTTGTTCATTTGGTTGAAATAAGTGTGTTGTGAAAGCTGCGAGTGATACTTCTTTATTCTCTTTTTCTTGGCTTTCCTATCCTCTTTTGTTTCCGCTTTGAGATAGTTATAGAGTTATCACCTTCAGCCGTGTGGGGCCACGCGGTTGATTACAGACTGTTTCTCCCCCATTTTTCTTTGTTCCTATCACCCCGTGGTGAAAGGGGGGAGTCCCTCATTTACCTACACCCCTTCACACACACAGCTACATTGTCCGTTAATGTGTTTTGCTAAACGACTTCTGCTGCTGTTGTTAATACATTTTTAATCATTTTACCAATATTAAGCTGGATGTATTAATTTTACATGAGTAATTGCACTGTTATCATCATACCTGCTGCTAACGGACATTAGTGAATGTATTAATATCTGGCATATTTTCGACAATCTCAGACGCCAGTAAAGTGACTCTTATGGTTTTTTTTCTTTGTTTTCTATCTCGTTTTATTCTTTATTTTCGATTTCTTTAAACTAGTCATTTTAATCTACGTCGTGTTTATTTTTCTAGTAGTGTGTAGTGTTTGCATAGAGGTTAGATTTTCTGTAGTTCTGAATTATTAGAATAAAGACATCATTGGTTAATCTGTAGTGGTTTTGCTCGTTCATATAACGGAGGGTTTATCACTCAGGGTGAATCCACCCCCTTTTGGTAATAGTGCGAATAAACAGAGATAGAAGGTTCTTTATTGATAATTTAATAGCTTTGCTGATAACTTAACCGGGGCCACTAGACTGGTGGATACCTGGATTTTAACAGCCGGTCCCGGAACCCTCCAGAGGTGAATCCGCAACCCGGTAAGTAGATAATTCAAGGCTACAATTATCCACCTAAGAACACTAAATTGATTTTGCCTTCGATGTTGAATAGGATAGAAAATTAACTATAACTCCAGTTCTAGTTAACCATCTATTCATTATCTGCAGGACATTATTTTGCACAATTGGTAGATTTGGGAATCATGAGGAAGTTGGAACTTCGAGTTTGCTATAATATACAGCAACACAACAGAAGTTGGCACGTTTGCTACTAAGACTCTTTGTATAAACTTGTATTAAACTGAACATTCCTACTTCCAGCTGAAGTGTTAAAATGCTGCACCGCTAGGATGAAGCACAAAATAACGTCACTGACCTCCTCCTCAGGCTGCTCGAAAGGTGCATCCTCCTCTTCGGCAGGAAGCTCCTCTGGATCCTCCTCTATCACCTGAAACATCAGAGATCACCCAAAGATTACCGGCTCTGTGCAAACTTCACACATTAAACAAAACATTTATATAAATTGCAAGTCAAAGTTTAAAGCCAAAGGAAAGGCTAGATCCCGGGCATCCTCTCTACAAGGTAAGATTTGGATAAGATTTCGAGTCGTTTCAAAAAAGCAGAAACTTGGCATCAAATCAAATTTTTATTCTTTTTTTTATTCACAAACTTTTGATTATGGGATTTATTTGTTTAGTAGGTCACCTTTACTGACATAAAAAAAGTCTGACTGAGTAAACATTAAGAAAATGCTCTCAGAGACATTCAGTGTGTTAAAGGTGCAGCTCGCAATTTGTTTGCCCTGGTGTAGAATTATTCACCAAATATATGCAATACCAGCACTAATACTTCGCAGGGTGGCAGTGCATAGTCGCTGTCCGATTCAATTAATCTTAAGGCACTTCACAGAGACAATTTATTCAGATCATGGACACGGACACGATTATTTTTGTGATTAATCAATTAATAATCTGATAGCCAAAGGTTCCTTAAAGAAGACTTTTTATAAATGAAACTAGGTGAAACTTTTCCACTTGAGGAGTTCTGGATAAAGCATGTTGACAGACATATATGTTTTTTAAAATCTTAAATGCACAATGTTACCATATATATATATATATATATATATATATATATATATATATATATATATATGTATATATGTATATATATATATATATTATTTATTTTTATTTTTTTTACAATTTTGGTATAATTGCTACTCAAGGTGGGTTGATCTGTTAATTAAAGACACGTTTTAGACTCTCTAAACTCCAGTTAACAATTAATCAATTACTAAATTACTTGATGATTATTTTAATAATCGATTAATCCTAGTTAATCTGTCTTCTTCAGCCCTACTCTGCAGCAATCCCTCAAGCTGTGCATGCAAGCAGCGCAAGTGAAGAGGAAAACTGTCTTTTAGCAGGAAAGAACCTCTAGCAGAACCAGAACCAGGCTTAGTGTGAGAGAGAGAAGCAGATCCAGTTGAACTTTCAGAGTTTGCAAAACTATTGTCTTCATCTAAGCCTTCAACTTGTATGTTAGATCCAGTTCCAACCAGGTTATTTAAGGAAGTTTCCCCTTTGATCTCCTCCTCCATTTTAGATTTGATTAATCTATCTCTGTTACAGGGATATGTACCAAAGGCTTTTAAGGTTGCAGTAATTAAACCTTTACTTAAGAAACCATCTCTTGACCCAGATGACTTGGTCAATTATAGACCTATATATAATCTTCCTTTCTTATTCTTGAAAAAGAAGTTGCCATACGTGTGTGCGATCACTTACACAATATGAACTGTTTGAAGAGTTTCAGTCTGGCTTTAGAGCTCATCATAGCACTGAAACAGCTCTGGTGAAACAAAGTCCAGAAGTCGTTCCTCTTATGTTTTTTTTATTCTGTGGGAAGATAACTCTTTTCTCTGGATAGATAGGCTGGGCAGCTCAACGTCTGCTGAGATGTTTAGATATCTGATGCTCAAGGTCTGTTTCATCTCTTGCTAATTAAACTGTTTTCTAGGGATGCGTCTAGCGATGAGAAAACCTATTTTGCTGCTAGTAAAACTGTTCAGATGAAAACAAGAGGGAGACAGTGGTCTGGCTGTATTTCAGTCTGTTTCTCAATTTTTGCAAGAATATATTAAAAGTGTGATGAGGAACACCAACATACTGGCAGTTTAAACATCTATCTAGAATGAAAGAACCATACAGAACAGCTACAGAGCTAGAGATTCATTCTTAAAACACTTTGGACTGTTCAGACCTCATTGATCTCCAGTTCTGGCTCAGACTCAGCGGGTACTTCAGGATCAGGTTCTAGAACAGAGAAACAGAGATGTGTACTTTACTAGGAGTTCAATGCATCGAAAAAACATTTAAAATCTCCTAGGTGGCCTCAAATCCCAAATAGGTCCAAAACAAAAAATACCGTAGTCCATTATTAGAACAGGTTTTTCAAGTTTCTTGCCATAAAATAAGACCCAAAAACAGCACAAGAAAAGAAACAACCACTGTTATTTATGTTAGAGGATCACTTAAAAATTTAACAGAGCTCATAGACCATCAGCTGCTGAGAAGAGAGATAAAAGTGAGGCCAACTCAGACTAACAATTAAATAAAAAGGATTAGAGCCTTCTTAACAGAATAGCAGGGAAAGTAATAATAATATTAATAATAGGGCTGTAAAACGATTTGTTTTTTAAATCGCAATTAATCTCAGAAGCTTAATAGTTAACTGTGATTAATTGCAGACTTAAGAGTTTGAATTGCATCTCTTACAATACTGTTAATTTGCCTTTAACCTTTTAACCAATCAAATAAGCCCAGAATTTTATTTTGAACCTTTTTTTATTTAAAAAAAAAAAGTGCAATTCAGGCAAACTTCCACATATTAAAGGGTGACTTTGAGAGATTTAATGGGATATCAGGCCACTACCTTAAGCTCCGTGAGAAATTAAGAACACCATAAGAAAAACTTTTGGGTTTTTTTTTTTTTTTACACCTGCAGCTTTGGTCCGTTTGGGTCAGTACGAAAGCAGAATCGGACTCTAGAAGAGGAGTGCACTAATCCATGTCTGAAAATAACCATAATCTGGTGGTAGAATATAGTCATTTATTATAGACAGAAATGACCGTTTTGGTCTTATGGTTAAGGAGCACCAATCTGCACCTTCTAGTGAACTGGGCAGATTTTTCCATTCAGTGTCTTCAGTGCATCAGCATATTATATTTACACTACAGCCACGTTTCATTTTCAGACACTATCATTTGCCAATGGTAGTTCATGCAAACCTTATAGAAAAAAAAGGCGAGAGCGCACGGTGTCCATCATGAACATTTTAGCCATTTATCTCCAGATCTTAGCCCATTGTCATGGACACATTATTCCCAGGAGAGCAAAAAAAAACCAAACAAACTAACTTTTTTTTTTAAGTAAAAAAGGCTGTTTAAAACTCAGGTTGTACTTTTTCATCCATCACCTTTTACCGCTTCACAAAATGGACAAAGGCACTGACTATGGGTTAGTCAGGATTCAGTCTTAAATGCGATAACTAAAATAACTCATTATAAATACTTTTTAATTGATTGCGAGTAATGCATTAACCATGACAGGCCTAATTCATCATGGCTATTCACAAAAACACTTCTTGCAGACAGTCACCTGTTGATGATGCAGCAGCATCCTCTTCCACAGCGGCATCATCTTCCACAGCAACATCCTCTTCCGCAGCAGCGTCCTCTTCGGCAGGAGCGTCCTCTTCCACAGCAGCGTCCTCCTCGGCGACGGCGTCCTCTTCCACAGCAGCGTCCTCTTCCACAGCAGCATCCTCTTCAGCAGCAGCATCCTCTTCGGCCACGGCGTCCTCTTCTGCAGCAGCGTCCTCTTCTACAGCAGCGTCCTCTTCCGCAGCCACATCCTCTTCCACATTAGCTTCAATCACATCCTCAGTTTTATCTTCCACAGGCACAGGGTCAGGTTCAATTATGGCTTAAAAAGGAGAAAGTGAATTTCAGAACCACAGATCTAATGGCTGCTGATATAAATAACATTGATCAACCTGTAAATGTAAACACTTCTCATTTGTAGTAGGGAAGTTTTTGTTTTATGTACGTATTTGTTGCAACACACTAATTTTATCCGACTAAATAAATGGAAACAAGACTCTACATGTTAGGACTTGTATCCAGTGCTTATAAAACTGTTTTTTTTTAAGACATGTATAATGTGATTACACAATACTGGCTCTGTCAGGAGTCCAGTTCGTGTGGTCTGTTTTTGTGTTTCTTTTTCTCCACCACCAGGTGGTGCCCTGTCGTCGTTGGGCCTTCCTGCACACCTGCGGCTCGTTGGATCATTATCTGGAGGAGTATTTAAGCAGTGGACTGTCACTACCTCGAGGCCAGAGTGTTTGCCAGTTTTGGGTACTCTAGCCAAGCCGTGATCAGCTGAGTCTAACCTGTGCTTCTTTTTTCTGAGTCTAACCGTGTTTTTGTCTTTGCCTTTTGGCAGGAAGCCTTCCCGCTGACTGGAAGTTTTGGCCTTCTCCCCCAGGAAGGATATTTTGTGTTCACACTGAGCTGGGGAAATGTTCCACACGATCCATTCAAGTACCCTCGAAAATCTAAGTGGCAGTACGCTCTCATACTCCTCAGGGTCCAACTCCACCAACCTGTCCGCCCTCCAACGAGTTGCTCTCCCTCTGGAAAACTCACACATTCTGGATTCAAGGCTTTGATTAAAACCCCCTCCTATGTGAGTCCCTTTTTCCTCCATGCTCAAGAACTCTATTCTGTTTCCTACGGCCATTGAACTAACCGCTGTGAACTTCCCTTCCACTTCTAGTTCCGGTTCAACAGCTCTCTCTGAGTTCAAGATTCCACCACCTGTTGTCCTCTTCAATAAACCTGTTAAACTTTCCCTTGGTTCTGAGTGGTTTTCTGCATGTGGGTCAGATCCCTTAAAAGCATCATGACAGGTTCATCTCTTTCATTTAGAAATTGGCTGTTATAGTGGCTACAAACAAAAACAGGCAAACAATGAAGTAGTCATTTGAAAAACAGTAGAACAAATGGGAAATAAAACCACATTTCAAACAAATTGGTACCTGTGAGGTTGTAACTTAAATCTTATTGCTAAACCTTTTATACTTCTGAATTATATCAACAGCATCTACCTATTTTAAGGTAACGGAAATCTACAATTGTTTACTAAAGAGATATTTAACCAGCCGTACCTTGTGGTGTTTTTTCAAGTTCATCAGCATCTCCAGGAGCAGCAGCCTTCTGCGTAGAGGTGATGGTGGCAACAGCCTTTTCTTTCAGTCCTACATTAAATAATGGGCATATTAGTAGGTCAATCAGTACAAATTATAAAGTGCTTTAAACCTGAAATACTGTTATATTTACAGGGTCTTCAAATGAGTAATATTATGGTACATTTGAAAATAAAATCAGTAACAATAAGCTTTCCAGAGCATGTTTTCATTGTTTGAGCAGGAAAATCCTCTCAGATTTGGCAGACAGCATGACCCAATAACCTCCTCATTAAGCCGTCTTCTAAACCAGCTGTTTTGGCTTTCCACACCCAAACCCAACCATGACAACCAGTCAGAGTTTATAATGATGGCCAATAGGAGAGCAGAATAATACAGAAGACAAAGGCTGACCTTAACCAAGGAGCTGGTCTGAGGAGCTTCTAAGTAACAGCAACATAACAGGAGCAGCTTGTCCAGATAGTTACACACTGACATTAATTTACCTTAAAAATACTGTTTGTGAAGCGCAGGAAAGATTATCCATCTTATAACAACCACCAGATAAGTTAAACAGCAGAGGATAATAATTAATTGCATTGCTAACATACATAATTTTAAGAGACAAGCGTTAGCTGCAGTGCTAACGTACATGGTTTTTATGCTACGTTCAGACCGCAAGCAGCAAAGGCAGCAGGAGCAGCTAGTTTACATGCAAGGTCAATGGTTGACGGGCATCAAGGCGCAGCAAAAGGTCCCACAACGCGTTTTGAGCAGCAAGTCGTGAGCGTTTCAGCATCTGATGCGTGCCGCGCTGTAAACGCAGCTGCTGCTGGAGTTGGAAAAATGTAACTTTTGCTGCTCAACGCACCACATCAACCAATCAGAGAAGCTGATCTGGGAGCTGGCAGAGAGACAGACACATCGCTAATGATACAGATCACTATGATCACTCCACAGAAACTTTTATTAAAGCTGCAGTCTGTAACATTGAGAAGAGAGCAGACTTCGACTGAAAATTTGAAGAAAAACAGGTTTCACGCCACTCCCCCACCCTCTCTGCTTCACTCATTCCCCACCTCTAAGCTCCACCCCTCTCACAGCATCTGCGCGGCTACCGCATGCGACCAGAAGGGGGGGGGGGCGGGATTCAGCGTGTGTGAGCTGTGATTGACACTCCATCAGACGCTCCTCTGGCTGTGATTGGTTGTTTTGACTCGTCCCGAATTATTCGTTCCAGATTGAAATACAGGCAGTATGCGGTACCAATTGAAGCAGTTTTTTTCACAGGTTACATATCACATGTACTGCTGTCTGGGCATAGGGACAGTTTTAGCCAATATGAAAAAAAAGTGATTTTTAAAAACTTACAGACTTCAGCTTTAACGGCTAAATTAACTTAAAATGCTGAAATCTGCTGGCAAAACATGTTCACTTTTATTATGCTGGTGCCTGTAGTTTGGATTAAGTACATGAAAACCGCCTTCCAGCCGTCACAGCAAAACGCGAGGAGGCGACCGGGCTAGAGGCTGCTGTTGAATGGGATTCCTACTGACAGCGCACCGTCGGTATGTGGGGGTCTGAGCGGCTGCCACAGAAATAATATTTGAAGGCAGGATGGTAATCTGGATGAACTGACTGCACAGATTAAGATTTCAGGTGGACTTTCTCATTTAAAAACATATTGAAACTACTGTTTACCCGCTGATCACAGCATATATAGCTGCCATTGTTACAGGCAGTGAAAGGATAGGGTAGCTCCGCCCAACGTGCATCAGACCCACTTTTCCACCACGTAGCTAAAGCAGCAAAGAGCAGCAAAGATGCTCTAGCTAGATGCCGCGCGTCAGAACTAAACTTGTACAAGCATCAAAGACGAAGCAGCACAAGTGTTTTTGTTGCTCTTGCTGCTGTAGGTGTGAACGTAGCTCCAGACACAAACGTTAGCTGCAGTGTTAACGTACATGGTTTAAAGGCACAAACTTTAGCTGCAGTGCTAACATGTGTACATGGATTTAAGACAAAAATGTTAGCTGCAGTGCTAACACACATAATTTTATGACACAAACGTTAGCTGCAGTGTTAACGTACATGGTTTTAAGGCACAAACTTTAGCTGCAGTGCTAACATGTGTACATGGATTTAAGACAAAAATGTTAGCCGCAGTGCTAATGTACATAATTTTAAAGAGGAACACCGTTTAATTTACATCGGCCCCTAGGTTTTACGTTCTACATCATGTTCTACTCACCCATATGAGTTTTGAGTAATTTGGAGCCGTTCTGAAGATATTCGGTTTTGTTATATTCAAGTAACGTCTTCCTATGGGCAACGACTTGAAGGCACAAACTAAACTGTTCATAATTTATAATTTATGGTACGCCAGCATTCATAACATGTAGGCCAATCACTGTCACCCAGACATCCATGGTTATATTTTTTATATTTATATTTTTTTTAAAACAAAGCGGACTGTGTATGTATATATATATATATATATACACATATATATATATATACATACATAGTTTGAGGTCACCCAAACAATTTAGTGTTTTCCTGAAAAGTCACACTTATTCACCACCATACGTTGTGAAATGAATAGAAAATAGAATCAAGACATTGACAAGGTTATAAATAATGATTTATATTTGAAATAAGATTTTTTTTACATCAGACTTTGCTTTCGTCAAAGAATTCTCCATTTGCAGCAATGACAGCATTGCAGACCTTTGGCATTCTAGCTGTTAATTTGTTGAGGTAATCTGGAGAAATTGCACCCCACACTTCCAGAAGCAGCTCCCACAAGTTGGATTGGTTGGATGGGCACTTCTTGCGTACCATACGGTCAAGCTGCTCCCACAGCAGCTCAATGGGGTTCAGATGTGGTGACTGCGCTGGCCACTCCATTACCCATAGAATACCAGTGACCTGCTTCTGCTCTAAATAGTTCTTGCACAATTGGTGTGTTTAGGGTCATTATTATTTTTCAGTCGAATTGCCATGATGGATGTGATTTACACCCCTATCAGTTAGCCCTATTAAGCCACATTACTTTTAAATTAATGTCAACAACAACCCATAGTTTTCTACAAGTAGAATAACAGTTTTGTCTAAAATCTCCAAGAGTAATTTTTTAAGATGTCCGTCAGATCTTAATAAAAAAAAAAAATAAAATAAGCTGAGACTTTTTGTCACCTTGTTAAGTAGAAGAGCTTAGTCTTAGAAAGCAGTACTTTCCTTCATGACTGACAATGATTGATTTCTACTTTCGTTTACTTTAGATCGCCTGTGAAATAGTAGCAAATATAGGTAAACATATGTTGCAACTCCAAAAGAGATTTGATCCTTAATAAACGGGTGCAATACCATTTGTCCGAGTGGTATTGCCATATGTCGTCTTCATAAGAAGGAGCAGGGCCCCGAGCAGATCTGGTACCTACACCGCAAGAGTTTTGGCTATGGATTCAAACAGTTCCAGCCATCTCTGGCTTTCACCGCCCATACGCTCTCGCCTTATAACAGTGACATACAAAGCAGGCAAAAAAATGGATGCCTAACTGCTCCCTACTGTTCTGGGCGCCAATAACGTTTTTGAGCTTCAGCAGCAGTACCGACATCGCGAATAATAATCTGTGCTTAAATCTCAGCGAAACCCTTCTGCATAGGGACAGATAAAACCCTCTCAATAGACCAAATCTTACCCACCACATATAACCATTTAAATCTATTTTCTTTAATTTCAGATGGAACTATTCACATACTTGCATTATATTAAACTGCACTTATAAAATTCACCATTTCGGTGCCATTTCCCTTTTTCCTCAAAGCACAGAACAGCCGGCTTGCTTGGACTCACAATGAATTGCGGAACATGTAAAGGTTTCTATCTTTAGGATCCTTTTTGAATTTCTAAATATCAGATTTGTTTAATTTTTCATTCATAATTTCTTTGTACTTGTTTTTGAACACACATTTATAGGAAGTTATGCACAAAATGTTATAGACAAATTACATTAAAAATCGAGCATTACAGACACAAATCTGTTGAAACAAACTTATCTCCACACCTAAGGGGTACAAAAGTCCAAAATGTACCTCAGGGGACAGAAATGTACTCATCCTGCAGCCTTTTTTTGAGAGTGTGTAGAGGCTGATTGCAGTGGGAAGTGAGGATCTTCAGTAATGGTCTGTCTTACAAAGGACCTGATGTGCCACACATCAATCAATATGGAGAAGAAGCACATCAGGGATCCTTTGATGTTCTACTACCTGCTGCAGTCCCCCAACTTATCCCCACAGCTGCAAAGTGGAGTAGAATAACCATCTTGCCACAAAGCCAAACTATTTTCCTAAGACTTTGACTAAAATATTAATATATCCCTGATCAGTGTTTTTTTCTGTGTGCATGCTCTGTGTTCTCAAACAGACGGGCTGTTCACACTGAGCCTGGCTTTGCAGGAGGTTTTGTCCTGTCACTACATGCGGCACCAACGCTCCACCCACGATTTCGCACACTTCACTTCCCAGGAGGATATAAAGGACACATTAGGCTTGTAAAAAACTCATCACAATTAAACTGATTTTAGTGTTAAGGAAAACAGGTTTAAAGCTTAATATTCGAAAAAAGCAACACATTAAGAAATAAATTGCCTTAAAACAAGATGGACCTCTCTTCAGCCCCCATTATTTTCTTTTATTGTCCTCTCATACTTTTAGAAGCTCATCGGCTCTGAATTGTTCTGATATAGTCTAACAGACAGGTCCACTCCTTTATAACACCCACACCTGTAATCAGGACACCTGTTGGTGAAGGACAGGAAAAGGCCAATCTTTGAAGTGTTGATCAAAGGAAAACTAGTGAAACATACTGCGTTTCTCAATTCACGAGAACGCGAGTACGTACTCGCGTTCTCGTCAAGTCCGTTCTTGGCGAGAACGCAGGAAGAGCGGACTTGACGAGAACGCGAGCACGCAAGCACGTATGTGTATTGGAGCAGAAGTGTACTCGTGACGTCATCACATGCAACGTTGTTTAGCATTTCTTTAACAGTCAAAACTATTTATTCCCT